CTTATAATCTAATAGTATGAATTCAAAAGTTATTAAATAATGGTCAGATAGGAAAGGATTATGTGGGAAGACTATTAAATGTTCAATATTAATGCCATATGATAAAACAAGGTCAAGAGTGTGATTAAAACAATGAGTTGGTTTATTTACACTCTGACAGAAGCCAATTGAGTCTATTAATGATATAAATGCGTTACTAAGGCTGTCATTGTCAACATCCACATGAATATTAAAATCACCTACAATAATTACTTTATCTGATTTAAGGACTAAACTTGATAGAAACTCTGAGAATTCAGATATAAAATCAGAGTACGGTCCAGGAGCGCGGTACATTGTAACAAATAGAACTGGCTGCAATGTTTTCCAGTTTGGGTGAGAAAGACTAAGAACAAGGCTTTCAAATGAATTATAATTTAGTTTAGGTTTAGGGTCCATTAAAACGCTCGAATCATATATGGCTGCCACTCCACCTTTACATTTACAAATTAGCCTTATTTAAAAAGGGGACAAAACAAAAGTCTTTCAATGAAAAATACATGTTCAGAAGTCATTTAAAAGTGCACACTGATTTTGCAATTCAGGCAGAAATTGAGATTCCCTAACTGCAAAAATTTGGTCCTTTTCAGATGGAGACAGGTTACTGCCTGAGGACCTCAGACTGGTTGAGTTACAGAGTAATTCAGAAATATAATCTAATGAAATATAATAATGTGTTGCACAAATTGAATATATTTTGGCATACCCGTATGATACAGTGTGTCGTGATTATGAAAGTAAAGACAACTAACAACATTGACTGAAATCGGCCTGCTGTAGTTTTGCTAAATATTCTGCAGAGGGCACCATTTAGATGTAATTTGAATGCCAAAAGCACACCTACAGTGCAGCATACAGAACAGGTCCTGTGTTCAGTGCAGCAATGTGAAGTCAAGCAATCGTGGTGTGTCCACAGTAATACAACAACCCCTGATAAGTGCTGCGGCTGACTTTTTACTATGTGATCATGGGACAAGCATTAACTCTAAGGACATTGTGTTTGGGCCCTCATATCTATATTTATTTATTTTGTCCTACATTGTAAGTGAATGTGCTGAGACTTCAGTACTGAGTAAAAGAAAAAAAGTAAAAGGACTCAAGAGGGAGATACACCTCCCACCTGTTTATGTGGTTTTTATGGTGGACAATAACTCAGCAGAGAAAGGCTGTCATTGTACTTCAGGAAGCAGCAGAAAGCCAACTCTGTATTAGTTCCGAGTTTTATTACATTTTACTGGCCTCTATGGCAGCACGGGGCTTTCTATCAGTAGCAGACATGCACACAGGGAATGTTATTTGTTCATTTTTCTTTCATACACACAGACAAAAGTAAGATGAAATGTGAGGATAGACGAAGTTGAGGGTTTCAAAGTCTGCATGACGTCGAGCTCATATTCATGTCTGAGTCATAGTTCTTTTTCGTTCTCTTCCTGTGTGGTCACACGCAAGCACACGCACACATACTGAAGATATTCAGCTCCAGATAATGGCATTAGGCAGATCTGTTTGAATAAGAGGCAGAATAACGATAAGAGGCCCGAGTGATGTGAGTTCAACATGCTAATGAGTGGCAGACTGGCTTGTGGCAGCCTCACCCTGCATGTCTCTGTGTGCATATATGATGATACAGTGAGTTATGAGTCAGGTCTACATTAAATGACATTCGCAATCTTGAAACTCATGATACAGTAATTGCCCTATTAATAAAGCCCCATGCAGTGTCTCTGGCGTATTAGCTAAAGGAGTGTATGCAGAACATGAAGGTGTGTGCTGAAATCTAAGACTGTGGGAGGTGTTGGCATCACCCTGTAAATTTGCCAGCCGGTTTGGGTTCATAACTTAATTTGATCTGATGAAATGCACTTCATTAATTTAGTAAGTCATGACTAAAGTGAGGACTTGTGTCGGCTAGCAAATCATCTTCAATAGATTATGACTACTGAAGATGACTGAGATTATGAAAAATGTTTGATGCTCACTTTAAACAGTTCACATACCTCAGTCAGTGGCTTTATAGGAACACTTGTTAATATAAACCACAGCCTTGTAAAATAATTCACCTTTCAAGGGCACATGCAAATGTGACCTCTTGCCGGGCCAACTGTATATGGCAAAACATTCAGACAACAACACAAAACAAAGCCTACATTACAGGTTTGTGACCCATACACATTTACAAGCGTTTCCCAAGTTGTTTTTTAAAACTGTCTCATTGACCGTTGGCTTGTCGAACTTCCTCCCACCAATTACTTATTTAAAACATGAAAATCACTAAAACTGGAATTACAAGTGTTCTGACAGTGTCAGTATGAAACCTGTTTAAATAATGGTTGGATTGGGATCAGGTCACTCAACTGCTTGCTGTTCTACTGATAATCGGTAATGAATAGTGCAACTACCTCCACCCTCCATTCTTGAGTACTTTTGTCTTATTATCTGAGTTGATTTTTTGGGGTTTTGTAGAACAATTTAAAAAATACCAAGTGGTATAATTTCACCTGTTTGCTATACAATAATTTTCTGGGATTAAATATAATTTTCCCATTTTTGATTTGTCTTAGTATCTGGTTTTTGTTTAAAGATTTTCAGAAAAGGTCAAACAAACTCATTTGGATCAGATCAGGTTTCTCCCCAACCACAATTTTTTTCACTTACTTTAAGAAAATATATTTTTTAAGACACAACAATTGACAAAACAACATATTAATAGGCATGTAAAGATAGACGTGGGTTTGCAGTGAATGAGTATTAGATAAGTCCTCTCCTCTCAATACAATAAAACACAGACTGTATGAAATACACTGTCATGGGTTTATGTGTTTATTCTCTATGACTCAGCTCTGTCTCTCCATTTTATTCCCCCTTCTCTCAAACATCAAAGCAGCACAACACACAACCACATCACAAGCATTATGATATGCAAAAGGCCCATATGTGAGGAAATCAAAAGAATAATCTCTGAATCTCTTTTTTTGTTTGTTGACAGTATAAACACATATGACAAATGTCACTGGAAACTGGATGCCTGTGTTTATAGCATCAAACACATAGTGACTGAATGAATTGTGATTGCATTGACTGAAATTGGCCGACTGGCACATACACAAAGGTATCACTACAGCCATAGGATATACATATGCATATGAATTAAAATCATTTACCAAAGTAAAAGCAATATATAAAATAAATTTAATTTGGTGGAGTAGAACATTACTATGTTCAAAATAGAAAAAGTGTTAATTGGTTACACTTCCAATTAATGTATTTCCATCAGTGCACAACAGGTAGGCTGAACATGAAGAGATATGACATTTTCTAAGGGGCAATCATACAATTTAACATAGATGAATCATAAGATGATTAATTAATAATGAATAAAAAATAAGTTGCAGCTTTTATTTCAAAGAATTCAAATTCAATTTGAAGTGTTTCAAATACTTCTCTGCGAAATGTAGTGAAGTAAAAGTAACATAAAATGGCAGTATACATACTGACGTATGTAGAAGTACCTTTAAAATTATACTAAATTACAGTGCCTGAGTGATTAGACTTAGTTACACTCCGCTGTGGATGAGAGGTTATTTCTACACACACACACACACACACACACACACACACACACACACACAAATTACTGTGAGTCGACACAGGAAATTTCATGCACTCACAAATCATACACCTTTCAGTGAAACCAAAAAACGACACACACACACACACATACACACACACACACACACACACACACACACACACACACACACACACACACACACACACACACACACACACACACACACACACACACACACACAAATCCCCTTCACTTCCTCTCATACTTTTTGGTCCTCTTGACAAAGAGGCATTACAAGAGCAGCTGCTTAGCCTCTAAATGCTGACTGTCTCACACAATGCAGCTTCCATGACTTTGTGCCAGCAGGACTTGGAAGACAGTGATAATGAAATATCATGGAAATGAGTTTGGAGCTGAGCAGGTGCTAGTCAGGTGTACAGGCTTATTTGTTGGTCAGCATATCTGAAAAAGCAGCCAGATTAGATATCAGAAAGAGAGAGAGAGAGAGAGAGAGAGAGAGAGAGAGAGAGAGAGAGAGAGAGAGAGAGAGAGCAATAAGTTGGAAAGTACAAGTTACTGGACGAGTTGCCAGGTTTGGTGATCTGTGTATAAAAAAATGATCCTTGATCTTCGACTATGACATTCTTTCTCAGGAAACAGAAAGTATACTGTGTGTCACAACTCCTCAGTGCCAAGCTTCTTGTAGGGAGTGTAGTTTGTTTGCTATCTTTCATTTTCAAACATGTTGAAAGACTATACATCACTTATCACTTGCTGTAATAGCAAGACTTTTGGTAAATTGCTATTGGACCTGGCAACATGGCAATGTGAGGAAAGCTGCCTAGTGAGGAATGAAGCTTATTAATAATTTTGAGCACTTAAGTTGCTGCAGCTCCTCCATAATAATGTACCGGTAATGTCACTGGGCTGCGTCCAGTCAGAATTAGGTAATGAATTATTCACGGGAGATTGGGAGGTCACTAAAGCGTGCTCTGCTGATCTCACCTACACACACACCTACACACACACACAAAGGTCCACTGGGGCATTTATGCTGCTTAATTCTAGCACAGAGCATCTTGCAAAGCTGTATCCATGGTGACACATTTCTCTTTGACCACTGAGAGTATAATGGATCCAAATAAAGATAATTGACCAGAGCATCTGTGGCATTTATGTTGTGGCTAAAACATAGAGTTGGTGCTAAAAGCTCCAGTTAACAAACAGGCCTAAAAAAGAAACAGGACTGACATGGTTCCATTGTGGACTTTACTGTTTGCCTGCTGTGGTACATGAGTTAGTAGACTAACACTGAATGTGTCACTGAATTGTATATTATGTCTGCCTCAGTCAGGTTCAAAAAGAGAATAAATGAACAAAGGAGACAACCTTAATTGTGTGTATCAAGTTCATTCCAAAATACAATACCAACTGCATCATTTGAAAGATATTTAACAACAGAGCAGCTATTATTAAAGATTTGTGTGGGTATTTTACAGCAGAATCATTCAGCTTTGAAATACAGATCAACTATGCACTTATTTAAGACAGTGCTTTATTGCACTAAAATCCAGCTTTCAGTAGTGATGCATGAAAATAACAAAATAATTAGCTATTCATGGATTAAGACTGGGGCAATAATTCAGATCACTGGCCTATACACTGAGTTACCAGTTTATTAGGAAAACCTCAACAACATGATCACATACAACAACGCTGAAATAAATTCTCTTTATGAAGCTGAGCAACTGTAGTGAGTGTTGGTGTTGAACTGGACTCCATTATGCTGAGAGGAATTTCTAACTTAAAGTTCCTTCATATATGGAAATGGAGAACATTTCAGAGACAAGTTTGATTATAATGCCGTCAAATACAACCTAACCACTAACTATAACATCTATAATGACCACAAAGTTGAATCAACAACTCTCTGATACAGTGCCATTAAAAACTGAACCGGGCTTAGCTATACAAAGGTAGGATTTATTGCACTGCCATGACATGGGATTGCTTTAGATTGTACAGGTGTAATAAAATAGTAACTCAGTGTAAGACATCATGAAGGCATAAAACTGGCAATGACACATTTTCTATCAGATACTCTTCCACTCCTATTTTCATCAACAAATAATAAGTCATTATTATTCCAAAAATACCCAACGGTAAAGAAGTTCATTAGGGTTTAAAAATCCCATTCTTACTAAATTTACATTTTTCTTTTCTCCAGTGCAGTGTTATTATCATTTTTGCCTTTTTACATTCATTAGTCTCAGAGTTTTCCAGCACCAGAAGCAAGCCATGTGCTTATCCACTAATAGGTGGCCCTCTTCCTCCTTACTCTCCTCCTTGATGAAGGATTCTTCAGGGTTTTCAGTCCACGACCAATCCTTTTCCTCGCTCCCAATCCTCCTGACCCCCTTTGTAGCCTCAATCCCTGACCTCTTTCTCACTTCACATTCTCCCTTTCCTCCTCTTTATCACAGCTCCCTCCTCTAGTCTGTTCCTGCTTTCCTCACACTGCGCTCCTTTTATCTCACAGTCTTTCAGCCAGTCCTCCTTCCTTCAGTTCGGTCTGTCAACATCTCCTCCCTCAGTCATCTTCCTCATGGTGGCCGTTGACCAGGCCTGCCTCCCACCGTTGCACCAGAGGGTTCTTGTGTCTGGGGGTCCGGGGACTGTGAAGGACCTGGGTGAAAAGATGGGAACAAAGCATGGCAGGAAGTTAGTGGTGATTTCAAGGTAAACAAAGAAAGGGAGACAGAAAGTTATATGTGAAAGTGCAAGTAGAAAAAGAAAGAGAATTAAAGAGTAGGAACATCAGATGTGTGGAAGCAGGAGATGTGGCCAATAAGCTAACACAGGAAAAAAGGAGCAAAAAGATTAAAAGAGAAGGGTGAATTTATTTCCTCTAGAGGACATCTCTTTGGATGAGCATCATTAGGTCTGTTAGTCAGAGGGAGGTTAATGCGACTGTGATCCAAGGCCATGTTCAGTATGACTAAGTCAACAACTGAGGCCAATTTCTCCGGCAATCCTTCGTTTATTCCTGAACTTTGATGAGGAACCAGGTCTATGCAGTGAGCAGATAACCAACCAGCAGAGAGAGAAAGAAATAGAGGGACAGATGCATTAAGCAGTGAGAGGAAAGAGAGCAAAAACGTTACTAATGCTAACGTCAAACTGAACCGTGCAGCTGAAACCCGGCATATCAATGTCAAACTGAATTAAAGAACTAAAGCCACGGAGCAGCACTCAACTCTAATCAGAGATACCACAGTTTCAAAGAGATACAAGACCCATAAGGCAGGTAACGGAAATCAGTGGGATTTTCAATTGACTTTCCTCTTTCTTTGCTATTGACTGAACACACACACACACACACACACACACACTCACACACACACACACACACACAGACACACACACACACACACACACACACACACACACACACACACACACACACACACACACACACACACACACACAATCCTGCCCCCACACACAATCCCACTCTACAGTTTCTCCCTCCCTTTCTGTCTCAGGGCTGTTTGCCTTCTTCCCTTATCTATAATGATAAGCTCCTTACTGTGTGTTCAGTGTGTTATCAGATGTTTGTGGCCCATATTTGGTGCAAAAGAGATGCTGACATCCTCCCAAGAGCCTTTCTTCATTGGATCTTTACAATCCGGTGCAGTTTTAAACATGTGTTCATATTCATGCTGCTGAGAGACTAATTAAACACCCAAAGCCACATTGCAATTCATATTTGAACTATCAGTTAAAGAAGCGTTATGATTGTGGAACCTGATATCTCCTTCGCTGCATTCAAGAGAGACTCAGGCAGGTGATTTGCCTACATTTCCATGTCCTATACCTAGTATACTAGATGGCTTGGTGTGTTAAATAATAGAGCAAAACATACTAAATAAATGTCACTATGCGTCCTGGTGTGTTTCCACATGGTCAAATATTGTCTCCGTATGCAGTAGTATAAGGGAAATTGTAATATCCAAACTTCATTGCAACGGGAAGACTGACATCGCTGGCTCACCTCTGGCTGGTTAATCTTGTCCTCTTCAGCCTGGGCTGGGGGCCACATGCCAAACTTGCCAACTGACTGGCGTGCTGCAAGAGAGAGAAAGAATAAAAAAGCAGCTGAGGGCAGGATGAGCAAAAGCAGGGCATCAATCAGGCAAAGATGTTCCTGTGATTTTGTTTAGTGCTTCACACCGTGAGCCTCCTTGAATCAAATTATAAGTGAAAATGGTGAAGCAGCAGAGAGAAATGAGTGGATAGAGAGAGGAATGCAGTGGGAAGTAAGCAATAGAAATGTGTTTGATTGAACATGAACATGGTGAAATAGAAAGAAAAAGTAGGCTCTAGAAATGAAGGAATATGAAAAAGGTTATTGGACTCATTGTCTATGAAACAATACATTATTGTTCATGTCACAACACTGAGTCATGGTCATTCAAGTCCTTTAGTGGCACACCCTGGTCAGTTTGACACGCAATTGTTGGGGACACTTTGATTCATATAGAGTCAAAAAACACACACTGGCAACCCTTCCTGTCAACAACACACAAACATACACTCAAACATACTATACAGCAGTTGTTCCCTTTCCCAACCTATTTTGTCTGATTTACCCACGCATGTCACCAATAGAAGCTATTTTTTTCCTAGCTAATAATCTAATAATCATCTATTTAAACTGTTTATCCAATACTTTTGGTTTTTCACAATTTACACAATACTTATCTAAGTACTAAGTTTATCAACCACGTATCTAATACTTTTAGCAAACAATTTTAACCTTTTATCCAATACTTCTTTTTCTATCTATTTCAATCATGTATCTAATATTTTTTGCTAATTATTTTAACCCTCTATCCAACACTTTTTGCTGTTAGACCCTACTTCCTAGCTAACTACAATAGCTTTTAGACACTCACTCACGACATGTAGTGTACAGGAGTTGATATATTTGTCTAATCAAATTGGGGTTTGAAATACCCCAGTTGGGAACCACTATTGTACAGTACATGGACACAATGGCAGCAAAGTTGTAACTCATCCTCTCAGTTGAACTGCATTTCACATTTGCTCTCATTGTCATTAGTCTCTACACTGACTCTATATCACCACAAGAGCTAAAAAAACAAGTTGTATGCACTTTCTGAATGCTGGATTTAGACTTTATTTGAAAATTGGACTCTTCCAACAGACTCCTTTCTTGCTGAGACAATAAAAGTGTCGAGATATGACTCAGGACTTCTCATCTCAACTTTTGCAATTAATATGACGGACTAGATGCTTTATTTATTGTGGAGTTACAGAATTTTATTTTCTTGTCTACCAGCTTATGGTCTCCACTGCAAAATTATTGCTCATAACAGCTAACGCTGGTTTCGATAGCTGTTTGCGGTTTTCCACTGACCATGAGAAAAATGAAATAATGTGCTCACTGGGCTGTTTCAGGGGGTTTTCATCATCTCACCGCAGATATAAAAATTACACACATACCCACACACAAGCAACCGTACACATACACATTGTCTGTGTGTGCTTGTGAGTGCAAGCAGAATCAGTTATACCCCACACACTCCAAGATCAACACTCAGCACAACACTGACCTGCTGGGGGTCCAGTTACTCCCCTGGATGATGAGCCAGGTACAACCAGTCCATTCAGTGAGGAAGAAGACAATGTGGGACTCTTTACTTCTATGCTGGCTGGCCTTCCTCCCCCTCCTCCTCCTCGTCCTACCCCCCCTTCTTTTGCACCCTCTGTGCCCCCGTAAAGACTGATCCTCTGCTTGTGAAGCTCCTTCTCCCTCTCTTGAGCCTCCCGGATGTCCTGCTCCACTTTGACTAAATTTGTTGAGGTGCGCAGCTTGAAAAAGGGGTTCTCTTTGGGTGCCATCTCCACCTCTTCCTCCTCTTTTTCCTGCTCCCTTCCTTTGATCCCACCATGTCCTTCTGTCCTGGATGATGAGATATTAAGTCTTCCAGAGTCAACTACAGTGACGGGCTCTGCCTCTGGTTTGGCATGGTAGAGCTTCTGTGCTGGGACGCTTAGGTTATTCTCTAGGATGATGACCTGACAGCCAGTTCCATTGGAGAAGCCTGGTCCTCGGGGGGTTAGAAAAGTAGAACTCCCTCCTTTCGCTGAGTTTGGGCTCTGCGTAGGACTCCTCTCTGCATATAAGCCTTCTATTGTGGATGCCTGTGATGACATGTCCTCCTGGTTCACCAGGGTTGAAATGTCACTGGCAGAAGACCAGGACTCGGTTTTACTTCTGGCTGACATAGACAAAGTCATTGAGTCATTGGGTTTCTGAAAGGCCTCAAAAAGCTGTTTCCTCTCTTTGAGTTGCCGTACTGTGCCTTTGTCATAGAAACCTGGGACCTTTCCGAGCTTGACCAGGTCCTGTTCTCTTTGGACCTCCTCGTAGATCTCATGCTGCATCTTTTTGCCTGCAAACTGCCTGTCTTTGCCTTGACACCTCTCAGACTTAGCCGTTACAGCTTGGCAGAGAACAGTTTTCCTTAAAGGGATCTCTACATACTCCGGTGAAGTGGGTGGATTTGGAAGCCCTCTGGACCTTCTCAGACTGTGTTCACGCTCTATAGCCCGTCGAATCTCCCTCTCAATGGGAGTCTCTTTGGGTAAAGCAGTTGGAGTGCATGTAGAGATGGTGGTGTTGCCCTCCAAAGTGCTGCATGGGGAGAAGTCTGCTGAAACTCCACTGTCACTCTGGCTGTCGTCACACGAGTCACTCTCCATCCTGGTGTGTTTGGAACGCACAAATCTGTATTTTTCTGTCTTAAGCTCTTGTGTTCTGACTGTTTTTGAAAATGTTAACAGTCCTCCACCGTGTTGCTGCCTAACTACCTTGTTCCTTTCAAGTCCACTCTCTTTCTGCCCTTCCTCTCCACCTGTTTGCTCGCTTTCTCCCTCTGTTCTTTCCCCCGCCCTGCTCTGCCTTTCTTTCGCAGCTACAATACAACCAGAGCCTTGAGAAGCTGCCCTGCCCCGATTGGACAGCTCCATGGCAACGGTCGACAAAGGTGGAGAGCCCTGGCCGAGCACCTGTTGTGCAGCTTCCTGGTTTTCTCTCCTGGGGGCAAGTTCACATTGGCTCTGGGACAACAGCTCCTTCTGCTGTTTTTCTGAGGGAATTGCAGGCAGGGTTGACGTTTGTTCAGAAGAAACTGAGATATTGGCAGAATATGAGGGTGGGAAAGGCTTACTTCTGATATCTAGTGTTGTCCATTGCTGTTGACAAGCCATAATATCAATGCTCACTTCCTCTTCTTCATCACTTTCATCAGCAAAAGGGGGAGAGCAGACATCTGAGTTATTTCTGTCAGAGGGAAAATGATGAGTTGAATTTTTTCCAGCTGCTGCAGCCCCTGACATATTATTTTCAGGTTCACTGTTGTCAAAACCATCTGTTAAGAAGTTCAGCTGTGTGACATTTTCTTCTGTTGTCATATTATCGTCTGCCATCTCCTCAGATATAGAATCGACCTCTCCCTCCTCCTCCTCCTCCTCCTCCTCCTCAAATGGCTCAGCGAGAGGAGCTGTCTGTGGCCATTCTTGGCTATTTTGGCTATCAGGAGATATAAGGTCTGCTGGGTCTGAGATCATCTCACCATCACTGATCCACTCAGCCTCCTCCTCCTCTAGACTGGAAAAATCCTCTTTGTCAGTGAGTTCTTCTGTTGATAAATCATAGAAGGCAGGAGGAGGAAGCGGGAAAGCATCACATAGATCAACAGACTCTTCCAATTCCTCTTGAGTCTGTAATGCTTCTGATAGTTGGGCAACTTGTTCTAATTCTGTCACCATCTCTCGTGTCTCCCTGGGGGTGCACAGACTAATTCTTGTTAATTCCTGATTTTCCAACTTGGTTGCATCAGCTATTTCGGTTCTTAAGAGTGTTTGGTTCTCTGGCAGAGTTTCGTCTTGAGCTCCAGGCTCCAGGACGTCTATATCCTCTTCAGGTTCTGCCCTCGGAGCCTTTTTGTCTTGCAGAGGAGAGCTGTGGCTTATGATTGCACCCACTTCACCTTGTGCTCGGGACTCATTGACCCACTCGTCTAGTGAGTTGACAGGACCCTGTTCCTGCCAGGCCACAGGCTTTGTTGCCATGGTGACAAGTCTGCTAATGTAAAACCGTTTGGAGCAGTCAGGATGTTCGGCCTCCAGCCAGTCAGTCTGAGTGAAAGCAGAGGAACACAGAAGGGAAAGGGGAACAACAGAGTGATTAACAGAGTTCAGCAACAAACACGGCCACCCATTTTACATCCCATTATTTCAGTGCAGATGAAATGTCTTGCTATAGTATTGCCAAGAGAATGAATTATCATACTGTGTTTACTGTGACATTTACTGCGGAATTGTTTTGAAATGTTAAGTACTATGTTTTCATTTCTGTTCTCATATCTTATTCAACCTGTATTGCAACACCACAGTTATTAGAAGGGAACGCACATTTTAAAAGAAATGTTAAAAATACAAAATAAATAAAAATTAATACAAACAACTGCTTTTCATCTTGTTTAAGCAACTGGCATTTGCAAAGTGCACCAGTCTTTAACTGTATCACATTTATAGGCTTGTGGTAGCCCGATATCTTACGACACTTTATGTGGGCGTTTCTCTTAATTTGTCACTAATTTGTGTATTTGTTGAGATAATTATGTGTGGTAGCTGGTGCAGGATTAGAGCAGCAGAAATAAGTAGATGTGTCGTGCATTTACGCCCTATCTTTTTAATGGCAGATACTGAAGGCTCTTGTTATTGTGTGACAGGCAAGCTGTTTATAACTTTGTGCTTGGCTTTGGCTGTAAGGTAGTAGCTACTCTGCTCCACTGTGCAACGCATAAAGTTTTCTGCTGAACACACCTTTCTTTAATCAGCTTACAGGCTAGGGAATGGCTCAGCACCACACACACACCCACACTTACACACACACACTGTCTCTCTGTAACCCTCTAGCAATATTATTTCCCTCGCTAGCCCACTCATATACACACAAAACTCCTCTGTCATCTTCCGCTCAGCCTGGATCCTGACAAACTCCCATTCCCATCCATGGTGATTCTTGCCAAGCCAACATGGCTGGACTCCAATGCTGAGATCATTAAGGGGAATGTAGATCATAGCACTGGGGATGGCTAGTCTCTGATTAATTGGGACAGATGGACAGATACGATACATAGATAGCTTGATAGTTACAGTGCACTTCCCCCTTCACGTAACAATAATAGAAACTGACACATGGCAGAACAAGTAGGGAAAAGTGTAGTAATAATAATGGCAGAGCATGTAGGCACAACAATGTGGCGAAATGTGAGGAAATTAGGATGAGGACAGTGAGCCATGACAGACACTGTTTATAATCAACAATGGCTGGTTTGACCACTCACTGCATCACTATATTTGTCGCTGGTAAAACTATGTACTGTACTACACCTGCAGTGACAGGCAAAGCAAAATGCTATAATTTCCACATTGTTAAAACATATATATTTATTTCAGATAAAACTGCTTATTAGAGCGGATGCGCCATTGACATCATTCAGTATCCATTATGAAATGCACCCTGGCTGCTGTCAGGCTGGCTGTTTTCTCATGGGGCGTGTGTGGGAGGGTGAATGGGACAGTTGGCAACAAAGTTATCACTGCATCTAAATGAGACGGAACCTCGGCTCATTCAATTTAGTTTATGCATCCTACAAATTTACAGATACCAGACACAAGAAATCACTGGAGAAGACTATACATACATCTAATTTCTATATCAGGTATTACTTGGGTAAACTACTACCAGCCATGTTTTACAATATACTGCATGTTGACAGACTCACTCTGGTGCAATTTTCATAAAAGAAGCATAATATGTCACTCAACATGAAGTTTCATTGTGAAATGGAGCATGAAAACGAGTCTTTTGTCACAGTGGGAAGGTGATTGTTGTAAGACTTTAAACTCTGGTAAGAAATCTAATCTTGGCTTAAAAATGTCACACCTACTGATTCCTGCTGAAAACAAACAAGCTTAAATCAATTAATAGAATGATCCTGCAATGCTACAGTAGTGAAACAATACTCTCATTTATATTGTGGCATGGTAATGTAATCGGACTACTCTGAGTGTAAACTCTGGCATGCCCTAATGAGATTCTTCCTTTATGCACATTTATATATCTAATATGACGTGCTGTAGTGTTTTATTTTCTAAAGATGCTCAGAGGTTCTCCAGCTCTCTCAGTAAGGTTGCAAAGTAAGGTTGCAAGAGATTGCGGATTAAAACTCTGTTACATAACAGACTTATGTTTTGCTCATTATCTACAAAGGGGGCTCACTTTATCAAAAGAACAGCAAAATTATGGTCATCATTAAAATTACATCCGCGACGGGCCTTACAAATAAACTTGCCCTCCTTTTTAGGGTCAGCAGTGTCCTAAGGTACTTTAAGATCTAAGGGCATTTGACACAAATGCAAATGAATTTAAACAAATGCATCTAACTTCATCCCTAATTAGAATTAGCTCTGTTGCTAACTAATGGTTGCTGACATAGTTCTTTGCACATTTGACTTACTTTGATACGTTTTAGTCATTGTAGCAAAAAGAAACGCTGGGAACACCTGGTCTCTGCAGTCTTGGCTGTTTAGAATAATTTCTGTAATACAGTTGTTTGCTATAGTAGTAATTAATTACATGCTTGGAATTTAATGAATCTATGTGTACAAGAATTTAAATTTAAACAAAAGAAGAGTAAATCTAAATCTAAATACTAGAATAATGTAGTTGCACATACCTGTTAACAAAATGCTTTGAAGATGCCCTCCAACACACATTTCTGAGAGAATTCACACTTGCCTTGATTCAAGTCACTTATGTTTAATCAACACAAAAGGATTTTTTTTGCTCACAGCTACAGCCTCACTGCCTGTATGTCCTCCCTTGTGCACTAACACCCTCAGTACCCTGTGCGTTCACACCCACATTTGCATACCATGCTCACAAGCAAACAGTCACTAACACATGCACAAGAATGAGCACGTGTGCATGCACGAACATGTGCTCGAGGCTTACCCTATTGTTGTGGATTTGAAAATGTATAGTACTAATCCAATTAGTGAGCAACACACATTAATTATTACACCATGCGAGTGAATGAACAATGTACCAGAGGGATAGAGGGGTGAATATGGTTGCATGCTTTAATTTTATTGTCTTTTCATTACATTTTAGTATAAACCACAAAAATCTATGAGCTTAGAGAATACTTTCTAATTCACAGCACTCAGATGAACAAATCTATTTACTTTTAAAGTAGTCAAATTGAGTCATGTCAATTTTATTCATATAATCCAAAATCACAATTCACAAATTTGCCTTATAAGCTTCGGTACAAGACACAACACCTGCTATCCTTTAATCCTTGAATCCAAAACTTGAATCTAAAAAAAAAAGAAAAAAAAATAATGGGCAAGAAATTCAAGCTTGCAGGTGTCTTTTGGAAATCCATCCCCACTGATTATTCAAACTCTTCTGCACTACATCAGAGACATATCTGCAAAATGGACAGACATAAAACAGAAATAGACATTGTAACAAAATAAATCCCACCATGCCATGCTGTATTGGCAGCATCCAAGAGTTGATTTAGGGTGACATCTCTCCATGACAAAAATAAAAAAAGCATTGCCTTTATAAACCTATGGTTCAAGATATTTAGATGAATATATTCAATCTGTACAAAGCAAAAATACTGTCATACAAATGTTTCCGTACTGTGTGACTGAATATCATGTGCCAAAGTCTCTAAAGCCTTTTGTTCCTCTGTTGTCTCCTTAGACAGAGCTGCTGCTGTTCATTGGCTCTCAGGTTGTTCTGGGCAAAGCTCCTTGGTAGGATCCATCACAACAGGCGAAGGCAGCTGATAACACCTCAGCTGAGCCCTGAACTCCTCCATCTCCTCCTGTTCCAGCTCCCTCCTCCTGCTCAGCAGGTACAAGTCTAGAGATCGCCTCTTCTTTGACTCCACAACCCACTTCATCACGACACAGTCTGGACAGGATGTATACAGAAAAGACCCTGTGAGGTTTTAGCGATTGCCCACATCAAAGGTGAAGGTGCTGCCTTCTACTGAGATGTTGTAGGGCAGCTCCTGGCACTGATCACCAAAGCGGTTGATTTGGGTATAAGAGAAGTTGGAGGTTTCACTGGAGTTGGAGAAGTACATAGTGATGCTGTCTCGTAGTCTCAGGGCCTCTATGGATGGCTGGTGATTGAGACTGCCTGCAACTAAAGCCCATCTGCCCTCGAAGTGGTGAGGATCCATTTGATCCAACGGGTGGACCAGTTTTTCACAGACTGGAGGAGCTGAATCGCTCACAGCCATCAGGCAGAGGAAAGCAAGGACATACACAGGAAACATGTCTCTGTGTTAAAATTGTACTGATTCTGTGTAGATATCGTCACCTTGGAGGCTTTTATAGTACAGATTCCATCAAGAATGTCCAGTATTGCAACACAGTACAGGTTCACAATTCCTTATCTATGGGGTTTCCATTATTGGGCAATGAAAAAAGTTTGCTCATTATTTGTATTATTTTGTGATTCCATCCCACTTGAATGTTGTGGGACATTCATATATTTAGACATTTTCTGTAAAAAAAAAAAAAAGTGTATATTGTGAATGCAGCATAGTGCACATACAAACTCGTAATCTGTAACCCTGTCTTTGCTTACAAAGACAGCAACAATGCAAACAGCAGCTACGTGTAATCAAGTTCATAACCAAGATGAAAGTAATTTCTCATTTGTAGAATCAGTCAAAAATGAGCACATGCATATCACCTCAGGCAATGGATTGTGATTCTGTTAATAATATGTGGTGTAAACATTTGAATTACACATGGGGAAAAAAGAGCCCTCCAGTTTGAAACTCATAAGTCTGGCACATAAAAATGACATTCATTTCCCCTTCATATACTAAAAGTGGTTGCTGTTTTTCACATATAACTACCTACTTACTGCTAACATAGAATAACATAATAAGGAAAATATAATTAGTACCGGGAGTGAAATGACTTTAAAAGGTTGTTAATAATTTGTTTTATAGAGAAATAATCATCACATTGACTTCTAGCCACAATTATCAGGACCCAAGCATGTTGTGACAAGAAAGAACTTGAAAAAACACAATTTGCACAATCATGAATCACCACATTGACCACCTGGGCATTTAAACCCTGGACTTTTGTATCCTCAGAGTAGTGGCTGACCTTCTGGGAAGCCAGTTTTCCACACACCTTCTTACAAGTAGAGGCAATGCAATTTTGTCATGTTGTTTTTGTGTGTACTGTTTGTTTGTCCTGAACAGGTAAAAAGAAGAAAAGTGACACGATGTTTGATCAAACATATGCCAAAGTAGAACATTTTACTAATTACAGTAAGACACTGAATATCAGTGCAGACTCATCATTTGACCAATCTGAACAACATGTGATATTTATTGTCCAAACAATGACTGTGTCAAAAAAAAAAAAAAAAAAAGAAATGGAGTGGCAGTCATCTGAATTGACCATAGGTTGCAGTGCGGCAAATTGAGGCAAATCTAATTAACCCTTGCGAACATGTGCACTTAGTTTGGTTACAAATTTAAAATGTAATTATTGTTTGACAGGGAGTTATATACCGCACTATTTCTTTGCTGAGACAGTAACTTTCTGGAGTCTTTGATTGTTGCCTGGCAACTGGTCCCAACAAAGACATATTTAATATCAAACAAAATAAAAAGGTGATATTTGTTTTGTACAGATCAAACAAAAAAGATATAATTCAATTCAATACAATTTTATTTATACATATAACAGAAAATATCTCAGGACAATTTTAATATTATATACACTTATAATATGATAACTATAAGAGTAGTGCCAATCTTCTCATCTAACTCTCTGTATGAAAGGGAATAAGTGTATTTATCAAAAAGTCAGACTATTCATTTAATTAACCAGATGCCAAAGATCCAACAAGTTCTTTAAAAATAACAATTTCCACCGAAAGTTAAAGGGCAGCAAATACTTGATAATGCATATTGCTCACCCTCCTCTCTGCATTTTATGTGGTATATTTCAGCATAGTTATAACTTATTGCTGTTATAGGGCAGGCAAACAAATTAAATACCATTATGGCATACTATGTTAGTGTCCAAAGATGATTTAAGGGTGGCACCTCATTACCCAAATTAACTGAAGATATTTGGGAGGATTAAAAAGAAAAAAGACAATTTCTCATCTCAAAAAGCACATACAGTACTATAGTGCAAATTCATTTACACTATGTGACCAAATATTATTAATAAAATCTGCTGGATCACTGGTGGTTTTCTCTGGACAAAGCTTCTTTGTAGGATCCATCACAACAGGTGGAGGCATCTTCAGACACTCTATCTGAGCCCTGAACTCCTCAATCTCCTTCTGTTCCACCTCCCTTCTCTTGCTAAACAGAGTCAATTCCACTGATTCCCTGCCCTCACTCTCCACAACCCAGCGTATGACCAAAGAGTCTGGGCAGGATGTGTAGAGGAAGGACCAGGTGAGTTTGAAGAAGTTGTCCGGATCATGGGTAAAAGTGCTGTTTTCTATAGAGAGGTTGAGCGACAGATGACGGCATTGTTCATCCATACGGTTGAACTGGTCGTAGGAATAGACAGAAGTTTCACTGGAATTGGAGAAGTACACTGTCATGCTGCTGAGTTTTGAGCCAGCCTGTGTGTTTGGGCGTATACTGTCTGCAACTAAAGCCCATCTTCCCACCAAATAATGAGGATCCAGTTGATCCAAAGGCCGGACCAAATCTTCACAAAGAGGAGCTGAATGACTCACAGACAGCAGGCAGAGGATGGTGACGGAAAACACAGCAAACATGTCTCTGTATGGTGAAATGAGTTTGTGTAGATATCTCCTCTTCACCCCTTTATCTGTTTTTCTCTCTCATCAAGAGTGGACCTGGTTTTATAATACAACCTGCATCAAGAAACTATAGTTGTGCTGCGTCATCTAGCTGTACACTCCATTATTGTACAATGACAGAAAGTTTGGGAATGATCTAATGTTTGATTAGCCTCTAAACTGGGTCAGAGAGATACACACAGAGCAAGCAGGAAAGTGTAGTAAGTATGTATTATCAGGTTTAGCCAAATAATTTATCTTCAGATTGCTTGGTTTGTCTGACCAACATTCCTAAACCCAAACCTAAAGATATTTCATTTTTTTAAAAGAAATACATATTCATACATAGAAATACATAAAACTAATATTCACATTGTTGAAGCTGGAACCTGTGAATATGGGGCAAATTTGCTTAAAAAGTTTAATCAAAATTGTTGCCGATCCTTCTTCTTTTTCATTATTTTTTTGTTCAGGGGCGGATATAGAGGACTAGGGTGGCCTAAAAAATGCCATGCCACACCAGCTGCCAAATACTGTCAAATTCAACATGAACAAGATTCATGAAAATGAAAATGAACACATATAATTTAACTCATATATATAGTTATATAATTTAACTTTAAACTAAGTGATAGGCTTGTATTTGGAAATATGTCTGAAGATTTATAAATGAAACTATTTATTGATTTCTAATGCCACTGTTAGATATTTCTATTCAATGCTTTTCTAATGGGCCACAATAATGTAATTTTTTTGAGTTTAAAAATGTTCATTTGGTAAATATTGATATATGTGATTGTTTGTGATTAAATCAGCATGTATTTCTTTCACCCCTTAAAGTCACCATGCCATCCTCTTGCCACCCCTTGACTTTTTCTCCACATATACCCATGAATATGTTAAAGACAAAATGCATTGATTAGTGTGGATACTGTTTGTAGACATTTATTAGAGAAGAAAAAAAAAATTCCTCCAGTTTGCGTATCACCCTACATTAACCTGTTAAGCCCTAGCCATATTTTCAGAAAAAACGCCTAAAAAGACATACCCAAAGTAAATGAAGAATTGCTGCACAATTATAACGTTCATATGCATTTCACATTTTGACGATAAAATGCTAAATTTTGCTGCGTCTTTGCTACAGGGCTGACATGAGCTGGTTAGGTTGGATTATGTTTTGCTTGGTATCAGCAGAAAGATGAGCTTCTCTAGTTTAATTTGAAAGCTAACATGACTGAGTTGAGCAAGCGGATATATGTGTACTGCTGCGTTTCATTTCGACTGTCCCTTCAATTCAATTCAATTTCAATTCAATTTTGTTTGTATAGCGCCAATTCATAACAGAAGTTATCTCAGGACACTTTTCAAATAGAGCAGGTCTAGACCGAACTCTTTAAAACATTTATATATTTATATTCACAGAGCTGTTATTTTTTTGGTTAATTGTTTAAATTATTGCCAAACAAACTGTGTTTGAGAAAAATACACTTGGACTGTTGTTTTGGTAGAGTTGAAGCCTTGTCTTTTGGAAACATTTAAAAAAGAAAAACACCACAGCGTTTTATTAACTTCTTACAGGCAGTAAAGCATTGTACCGGTCCGGCGGGTCTAACAGGTTAAAGGGGCACTCATATGACTTTACTTATCAGAGTCAGAGTACAACCACCTGGAGGGAGCTTTGTGAAGTTTGAGAAAACCTTTCTTTTGCACGTCCCCCAACTTTATGGAAATACAATGATACGTTTCTGAAATGCCCTTTTAGTGACTGTTAATCACAGAACAATACAGAAGTGTACGAAGACTGAAGAAGTATCACAATCAGTTTTATTTGAATTGCCTGAATGGATTTCATGAATTAATGCATTGCAATTCTTTTTTTAATGCCTCAACTTGACAATGAATTTAATTACAGAAGAATATGCAAACTGTCCGAGGCTTCTGAGAGAGTCGATGTTCTATATGTGCCATGGGAGGTTTGTGCAACTGCTCCCAATAATTGACTGAGCTGCCAATAATTGATTCTCAAATTACGAAATGAATTTAAAAACATTGTCATTGTGAGGTGGGAAAAAAGACAATGGCAACTGGCTTTATTATATTTACAAAATGTGACAGAATATCATCAGTTATCATGAACCAACGTATCTCCTCAAGGTTGTTTCTCCTCAGTCTGAGCAGCTGCTGAATTGGTAACGCTTTGCTCTGGACAAAGTTCCTTGCTAGGATCCATCACAACAGGTGCAGGCATGTTCAGACACTCCACCTGAGCCCTGAACTCCTCCATCTCCTTCGGCTCCACCTCCCTCCTCCTGCTGACCAGATGCAAACGCATGACTTTCTTCAACTGGTTGTCAAAGCGCATCACCAGACAGTCTGGACAGGATGTATAGAGGAAGATCCCAGTGAGGTTCACCTGATGTTGCTCATCAAAGGTAAGAATGCTGCCTTCCAGTGAGACATTGTAGGACTGAAAGTGGCATTTTCCACCAGCATTGACGCTGGGTGTGTAGACAATGTCAGAG